GAATATATGAATCAAAAATAATATCATTCAAACAAAAAAAAATACGATAAATAATAATAAATTTGTCGATTTAATAAACCTCGTCCCATTTTCTATAGATAAATTTTAAAAATTCTTCAAATCAAGGATGATAATATCGATTAGATTTGGTTACGTTGGTAATACTTGTTTTAAAATAAATAAGAATTTGTTATTGTCCCCAGGATTTTATCCGGATATTATTCAATTGTATTCTCGGTTTCCGCTTCAATAAAATAGGGAGTAAGGGTTTCGTATTTCTTTTCGAATGATCCTGTTCGTTCTCAGAGAAAGAGAGAGAGATATATATATATCTTCCGTTGGGATCATAATCGATAAAAAGAGATAGGAAATAAAAAAAATGGAAAAAAAAGGAAACAAAAGGATAGAAAGATATCCAATTTTGTCGTTCAACGTGAAAAGGGAATCTCTCTCTCTCTCTCTCTCTCTCTCTCTCTCTCTCTCTCTCTCTCTCTCTCTCGTTTTCTTTCCCTTTTGGGGAAAAGGATAGAAAAAGAGTAAAGGGCGAGATCTTTGTTAAAGGATAGACTAGGATTTTCGTTCGTTTAGTTAAGAAAAAATAAAACAATGTTATGGGTACTGTAAGAGAAATAGTTTTAATATAAACGTATTTATATAATATATATTATATTGGTATTTAATCGTAATAATAAAATGAAAAGAATACAAATAAATAATCGTTTAAATAAATTATTATCACTCTGGTGGCGTGGGGGTGGGGAAGGGGGGGGGAATTATACATTAGCATCAAATAATTGTGTCAAGTAATTAAATGTTCTTTTTATTTTATTATCCCTTTTTTGTTGTTTTTTTTTTTTTTACCAATAACGTTGTTAATGAACAATGAAACAACAACAACAACAACAACGACGATGTTGATACGAAATGAACGTCGTTTCTCAGATTTCAGTTTAATTCAGAGTTGCATTGATAAGCTAGTAAGCGTTAACAGAGAACGAATAGAATAACAGAGTTTAGGATTTGCCAATACACACAGAAATACATACACACACACAGATACATACATACATACATACATACATAGAGATACACCACACCGTAATCGTATCGTTTCACGACGGCATGCAAATTTCTATCTCGAAGTTATGCTTATCAGGAAGTTTGCTCGAGTTTATCTCACAGTGGTACCGCGTGCTAGGGTTGCCACGGTAAAATAATGCAATTGGATGGATTAGTTAGCTATCGGTATTATCGGGTATTAGCCATTACATCGAATTTTGCCCAGAGAGAAACTTGTTAAGTGGATTTCGTACGAACTATCTCGAATTTGAAGAGCTTAAAGTGTTTCGTCAAAATCTAATTTCACACAATTTTTACTATTAAAATTATGAAAAATATTATTATTCGGATAATTGATAGTTGACAATTTTAATATGATAATATTATATCATTGACACACAATTTATATATATATATGTATAATTTTATTGATATTAAATATATATAATATATTGACTGTCTCAATAACAAGATTTTTATTTCTTTTTTTTTTTTTTTATGTAACAGGCAAAAGCAAGCGGTAAAAAATTACAAAGGGTGTCTTTGGCTGTTAGTTTAAGAGGTATCAGAATGACGGATTTAGCCACTGAGGAAGATCAACTTCAAGTATCTATATACAGGTAGGTGGTACATTATTATTATTATTATTATTATTATTATTATTAATCGTAAATTTATTGGATTCAAACACAAAGTTTGTATCTTATATTTCGTATAATTTACAAAATAACATCTATATATATATATACTTTATTCTCCTTATTTTTATATAATACAATCCAAAAAGAGATTTAAGAAAATATTTATGTAAAATATATTTTAATTCTGATATATGCAATATATAAAGCGAATAAAGTATATATTGTATTTTCTACTACTTCTATATCTCAAATATAAAAAATAAATGTCTCATACACCTTTAACTGTCCAGTAGTTCACATAAATCTTTCAAACGAATACTCAGAAAATTTGTTTTCATTTTTCATTTGATTTTGTTCATCTGTCACAACACAAGAGTTCTATTCTTATAATTCTTAATTTTATTTTTGTTGTCTCATCTTTTTTTTGAAATAAACCAGTATCTTTTTTTTTCTCTAAATCGGATCTCAAAGTGATCAATTTTATCTTCTTTTTGTTCTCTTTTTCTCATACATACACACACACACACACGCACGATAGTATTCTCGTCGTTGGAACAATAAACGAATCGAGAAGAGTAAAAACGTCGAAAGAGTAGAAATCCGATAGCAATGTTTGTTCTCTTTGTTCGTTTCTTTGACGAAATAGAATATCGGATCCAAAACCCATGAAATTGTAATCGTACGAGATTCCCCATGCTAACTTTCGCAGAATAATTGGAAGATATTATTCATAATACAAAGTTTCTATTTATTATACGAATGTATTTTACAAAATTTACGTTAACTATGTCAATGCCAAAACCACTATGATGTATACACAAATATATACATATATTATAACTGATATACAATTACGTTAATACGATATCTCAATAATAATATGATTTCATCTCGTTATCTTATATCTTTTTACTTTTCATATTAAAACTTTTTAATCGTAGGATAATCTGTCAATAATTTACTGCAATCCAATGAGATATCTTATTATATTGACTTTACTATCGGTTTTTCTTCTATTCAAATTTTACATGTTTCAATAAGTTAAGTTGATTACATTTCGTTAATCACGACATTAAATAATGATCGTTTCGAATAATAGTATTGGACAGTAATTGACGATTTTAAGTGTAATTCGAACATCCGATAATATATTCGTATGATTATTATGTCATCACACTTACAACAAGAACAAAAATACACAATAACATTGTAAATAATTATTATTGATTTACATTAAAAAAAATAACCATCGTTATATCGAATGTATATGTAATTTCATTGTAATAATAAGTAAATGAATTTTTGTTTGTTTGTTTGTTTGGGGTCGATGGGGGGTGTTTGGTGGATAAACAGGATCTCTTATTGTTCGGCTGATGCAACCCACGACCACGTGTTTGCATTCATAGCAACGAATTTGAACGAGACCATGGAATGTCACGCGTTTCTCTGTCCAAAAAGAAAAATGGCACAAACGGTGACGTTGACGGTGGCACAAGCATTCAATACGGCTTACGAAGCCTGGCAATTGTCACAGGCTGCTGATCCAAGGATTCATCATGCTCAAGATAAAGGTTCCACGTTGACAGATGAGAAAAACGGTTGGTAATTATGTTTCTGTCAGTTATTTAAGCTCCTAACTAATGTCATTTCTTTGTAAATTTGATCGATTCGAAAGTAATACGCTTGGACTGTCGATTTTTTAAATAACAAAAATATTCTTTCGAATCGTTACGTAAATACGATACAAACAAAACAAAAAAACTGAGTGTGTTTATATAATTGAAAAAGAAAAATTAAATTCCTTTTGAAATAACCGAGGTAGATAAGTATTTGTTTGTTAACAAAAACAATTTTAACGTGAGTAATATAATATTAATGCATTTTGTATTTTCTTTATTGATAAGAAATGAATTCTTCAAAAATTGATTCGTCATCGATAGAATTGTCTGTATTTTTAATAACAGTCTGACACATTTCTTATCATTCTGACAATTAATTCGTTTCAATTGGTTTTTAATTTAACATTAGTTTATGATTTTTGTAAAAATTGTTTATTTTAAATTGACCGTACAAACTAATACAAGAGAATAAATTTAATTTAACCTTGTAATCTATATTACATATAGTTCGAGATATTTAACTTGCTTTATTTACTCCTCCATGAAATATATTATATCGTAAAAAAACGTATCATGAGTAAACTAAATAACTTGAAAAATATGTTACGAACCAACAAAAAAAAATGTGTAATAGATGGATTGAATAATCGAACGGATCCCGGATATACACTCTTGTCAAATTATATCATTTATTTTGTTTTGTTGGTTAACGAATACTATCACGTCAAAAAGTGAGCGCATCTTTTTACGATGAAAAATAAAAATGAAAAATAAATGGTGAAAATGAAAAAAAAAAGATGAAAGAAAGAGAGAGAAAGAAAGAGAGGAAAAAGGACGAAGAGGAACAACAACAACAACAACAAAAGAAAAAAAAAAAGGATAAATAAATATAAAAAGTAAAACGTTGAAAAGAACGCTGTGCAACGTAATATTTGGTGTATGCACGTCAACCGTATAATCATATTTAACGTGGGAAATATCATGTTAACTTGTGTCGAGTACGATCAGTTGGCGATGCTTTGGGCATTTTTAAATTTCTGCTTCGAATGCATGAGTACATATGTATAACATGTATGTATAACATATATGTATATGTGCAAATGCATATGCGTATATATGAACGTATATATGCGTTCACATAAATACACATTGTAGACGATGAGTATGCAGGATGCAAATACAGAGAAATAGGAACACACGTTTTCGAGCTCTCATCTCTCTCTCTCTCTCTCTCTCTCTCTCTCTCTCTCTCTCTCTCTCTCTCTCTTCATTATATGGTAAATAAATAGATGCAGCATCGATAATTAATGACGATGCAGTTAGTACAGGCTCCAACTAGGAAGCTATAACAAGTATCGTGTAATCCGAATTCGCAGTTATTACTTACTATTAAAGACGATATAACACTGTTCATTTGATGATTTATCAACTGAAGAAAGTCATGTGTTTTATCTTAATATGTTATTAATTATTTAAAAATTTTTTAATTTGTTCTTATTAATTAAATCTAAATATATATATATGTATGCGTTTGTGTGTATTTTTTGTCGTTTGATTTATAGATACGAACGAAAAAAAAAACGGCAACGAGACAAAAAATGCAACAAAGATGAATCAACAGAACAAGCTGAACGGACAACGTCATGCTGCCGTCAATGAAGGTCAAAAGAATCTTTTAATTGATCTATCAAACGATCCTAAACCGACGGGGAATTCATGGGTGAGCGTACGCGTTTTAAATCTTTCCTTTGATTCTTTCATTCAATTCCAGTTGAACTAATTTTTCACACACAAATCGTCTACAAACGCATGCGGTATTATTGAATGTATATATATATATATATATATATATATATATATACAGGGTGTCTCTGTTCTTTTTTTTATCTCTCTCGTTAAACTTTACGATCATATTCTATAAGAAAAAATCTGTCGTATAATTGATTCGTTTAATCAAAAATAAGAAATAATAATTAAGGAATAAAACATAAATGATTGTATTACGTATTGGTGTATAATTTTGAAAAATGTTTCCCAAAAAATAATAAAATTCATAGCGTTAGTGTTCGTGTTTTCGCATTGTTATATATATACATACCATTTTTATAATAATTATTGATATTTATTTTGTCGTAGCAATTGTTATATTTTCGATGTAATTTTCAAACATTAAAAAAAAAAAAAAAAAGAAACAATCTTCAACAATTGAATTTTCATTAAAATTACAATCTATAATTTAATACCAAACGTGTAATATTACTTTTAACCGTGCGTCGCGTGGATTTAAGTAAATCGCATTTTAACTGATTAAAATATCGCGAATATAAACGAAAGTATATTTTTCAATTAGACGATTACAAAAATATTTCGAACCGATATTTATCAGGATTCCCAATTACGTTGAAAACATTTTCTTTAAATATAATATATTTTTCATGTAATTATTATAACACATTGGGGACCGGCAACTTTTCTGAAAATTTACCTCATGTGAAAGCGGATATGGAATTAAAACACAATATAAATATACTTTAATAAATTTTATTTATTATTTATTCAACTCATTATTAATTATTATTCAACTCTTAATATTTTTTAAAGAAAAAACAATATATATATATATATTTTTATTTTTTGTTTTTATTTTTTAATACGAGTTCATTCATGACCGGTCACCAATGAATGTGTTAAAATGATATTATTATTTGAATTTTGTTGTTTTGTATTATTTTCTAGGTGAGTTTCGAAGAGGAAACCAATTCGGATGGTAAAAAGTCGCAAAAAAATTCGTCGAATAGTATTCCCATGACTACTTTGAGACACACGAGCACGTCCACGCCATCTCATCACGTAGTACCGAGGCCATCCACGGGATTCAAGATGCAAAATGCTTGGGGAGAATCCAGATCCGTCGATCTAATGTGTTCGTAGCAGACATAGCCTGCGGCTGACAGTTTCAGAGATGTACCATTAATCACGGGTCTCTGGAAGCATCTGTCGAATAGCGGCCAAACAAAGAAAACTAATCCTTAGACTAATATCAACCCGCCCCCCCTCCCCNCTCTATATATACCCTTTTAACAGAAAGAATGAGATATAAATTCGAGAAAAGAGAAAAATAAAAGAGAGAATAATAATAATAATAATATGATTTTTTAATATTAAATGTGTGAAACGAATATCTATGACAAATTCGTCAATTGATTTTTATTTCAAATGATTACATTTTTATTCGGTCAGTATCATTAACCCAAATGATTTTGTAAGATGCTCAAAGTGGGGCCACAATATAAATAACATATCATATTTTAGATTTCGATGATTCATTTTTCTATACAACGTTTTAATTTTCTAATTTTTTTATTCGTGTTCAATATATATAGTATATTTTATAATTAATAATATTATAAATTTTCATAATATAATTCGTAAAATGTATACATGGTAATTAGCTTAAATTTATTTTATTTGAATCATTTAAAAGAGGGTCTAAGTAATCATTGACGATCATCGTGTTACCCCTTTGTAAAAGAAACATGGCCCACGTGTCTGTCAGTCAACGTGTTAAACATATTTAGTTGGTATTTTAAAAAATAAATGCTTTTCTTACATGTTTATAATGAAATGTCAGTATTTAATATAAGTGATCAGTATTGCATCGATTTACTGGAAATATATTGGTCAATATTTTAAATAAGATAGGTTATAGTATTTACAATTAAATATCAATATGTATTCCCCGTATCAATTATATAATCCTAATGCAAACCTGATTCGATTAAGAAGTACCTATTATAAATACTGTAACCATCTGTGTTTTAAAATATTGACAAATGATTATTATTTATAGTGAACAACATATTAAATTGTTCAATAAGTCTGGACAGCTTTGTTTGTTTGTTTTTGTTTTTAAATAAATAACGGTCAAAATTATTCAGGCCAAACTTGTTGACCAACTTAATATACTGATCATTTATTTTACAAAATATTGACCTAAATTTGTCAAAATATACTGATCGAATAAATGGAAAAGTGGAAAAATTTGTATCGATTATACATATACACAATACCATCAACGTATCCTTTTTATTTTTATTTTTTAACCGATAGAAACTACGTGAAATGTATCGCACGCGATATTTTCGATGATGATACTTATATAAATATATATATTATCATAGAAACGCTTTTAAAACAGGACCAACGAGAATAAAGTTTTTTCAATTATGACTGGTTACGAAATAAACAGAATAATATATCCTGCCATTGTCAAATTTTCTTACACGTTTACATATTTTTAACATTTAACATCAAAAAAATCGAAGGGGAAGAAAAAGGAAAAAAGAAATAGCATTTGATTTGTTCGAAAATGTGTTCAATAATAACCGGTCTATAGTTGTAATACATTTTAAATCTAACTTTAATTCAAATACGTATATAAATAATTAAAACGATTTTAATATAAGATTGTTCAACGATGCATATCGCAAGTTTAAACGATTTTTAACAAACAAACAAACAAACAAAAAAGCGAGTAAATGATATTTCCTTTTTCACACAAATGCATTAGAAATAAAATATGTCATTTTGTTTAAATAATAGATAAATATGTACGTATATAATATAATATATGTAATAAACGTACAGGATGTTTCGTAATACGTCGAATCCACTTAAGAAATGAATGGAAAATAGAAAAATAATGAAAAAAGTTGATATCAACATGTGTTCTATGCAGAAACGATACGTGAATTAAATATCAAACATTTGACATAGAGTATATTAAAACATTTTTGACATTAGTAAAGTGTTATTCGTCTAGCAATGGTGTACTGGAGGTTTCAAAAATGTAAAACACTTTTAAGATATACGATGTGCATTAACAGTACGATATTTAATTCATTAAATTGTGTACTGAGATGACTACTTTTACTAAAAATAATTATAACTTTGATGTTAATTCAGGATACATGTTTCGTATGAATATTTTTCATTGTTTTTTTTTGTTGTTGTATCTCTTGTTCATTCTTCAAGTAGGTTCCACATACATATTATGAAACACCTTGTATAAATATCAATTTCGAGAGACAGCAAATTAAAATTGGGAGTCCAATGTATTTAATATGCGAGATAGACGTTCATTAAATGCTAGATAAATGTGTTGATATATGCGTTATAGATATATATATATATATAGGTCTATCACGTCTATTTAATAGCAGTACATTTAAATATCGCAGATAACATCAAAATAGGTATAAATTAGCTTTATACGTCGATATGTTAATCATATCACTAAATATTACGGAATACTAGATTAAAGTATGGCTTATATACGGATTATACTTATCAATCGTGAACTCGTTTATCGTTTTTATTTTATCGTTGAATATAACCCCCTCTCCCTCCCCCCGTTTAATATAAAATTAATATAAAATTTTTTATTTTATTACGTTGACAAAATATTGTTTTTATTAAAAAAATTAAAAATTTAAAAACTATCGTTGATATAGATTATTATTATTATTATTATGGATAAATCGTTTATAAATCGTTTATAAATAAATTTCACACAAGCGTTGAATAGTTTGCTGTTATATTAACAGTGGTTTTTTTACGTTTACATATATTAAAAAAAAAAATTAGGTTTGTAATTATTCTAATTGAATGGACATTCATGGAAGAAGGGCTTATGTTGCATTCGATAGAATTTGCAGGAAAAAATGATTTATCGTTTATTATGATAATTAAATAAACAGCCTGGAATAACATATGTCCTTCTTCTAATTTTAAAAATTAATAATTATAAAAATAACGACAATGTTATTTATAAAATGGAACGCATAAAATAGGTCGTAAGAATCGTATAATAAATACGGATGAATATTAATGTTTCAAAAAGTATAAAAATAATATTCTTTTTATTTTTCTTTAATGTTTTTTTTTTTGTTAATGAAAAAGGGCTTGTGTTTCATTGCTACAACGAGAAATAAATTTTTGTGTTCGCATTTTTTATTGTAAATTTTATAAATAAAACTGTAACATACGCCCTTTTCTTTTCACAAAAAACACTCGTTTAATTAAAATCTATTTTTCTTTTTTTTTTCTTTTTTATTTTAATAATTATCGTCGTTATTGTACGTTTCTATATTTACATATATTGCAATTCTCTTATAGTTAATTAAAACAGATTATTCAACTGTGTACTCTTGTATATGTGCATAGCTGATGCTGCAAATTAATGGGAACGAAAATCGAACATTATTTTTCATTCGTTCTTGTTTATTTTTTTTTTTTAATGCTATTGTTCGTGCTTATTCCACGAGATCCCATTAGATGTTTAGCGAAAGATGCGTAATTGAAAAAAAAATATACGTATACATATCTCTCATAGAACGAATATTTTATCTCATCCTTTTATCTCTATTTATATAAATACATATTAATTTTTAAACAAATAATTAGAAACAATACAGTACTACCATCTAGCAACAAACATTAAAACTACAAAATAATTATACTGAACATTATCGATCCGAATTTTAACTCTTTACCCATTACATTACACTTATTTTCAAGTTCCTTCACCCTACGCTAGATGGCAGTAGAAACCAGATAAAAATTATTTATCTATAATGCGTTATAAACAAAATTTGTAAAAATTCTAAATATATAATCATTAATGAATTTTAATATACTTTCTGAATGTGGATAAAAAATGCGAAGGATTGAAAAAACAAAAGGAAATTATTGAAAATTATTGAAATTTTTCACCGTTGTATAAATTTCTATGTTAAAAAGTAAAGTATTATAAATAATTGGCTATTTATTAAACAATAAGGTGCATGTTCTTAGAACGTATATAAACAGTGTTAAATAGAATGAATAATTTGAAAAATAGTATTATATAAACGAAGGAACGTATGATTGTGAAAAATATGAGCACCCTTTATATATAACTGCGTTGAGTTCTGATAAAACGTTTAATATTTTATGAAACTAGGTGTAGGCCGGTACTCGAGGGATGCCCTAGATCCAAAAATGTCGCGATCGCTTGAGGATGTGAATCGTCTTTGCTGGTCTAGCAGCTTTTCAACCCCCGAAGAGACATATTGTCCCTTTGTGATTTCCCTTTCCACATTTTCTTCTTCTCTCTCTCTCTCTCTCTCTCTCTCCCTCTCGTAAAATATCCTTCCTTTTTATTTTTTTTCGCTTAAACATCACAAGTATTTTCTTTTATTACATCCATTCTATATTTCTTCCATTTATATTAACACATTTCACACATATATAAATTAATTTCTTTTTTATTTATATATTTTTTTGTAATATAAGTACACACAATACAATAATATATACACAATATTTATTATTACAATAATATAGATGCAGATTAATTCAATAATTCATAATTCTCGGATTACGTGACTATTATCTGATAATTTTGTGTGTGTGTTTTTTGTTTTTCAATTATTTACACAATAATTTAAAAATATTTTATTTGTAATTTTTTATAAAACATTATTCCACTCCCTCTTCTTTTTTTGTTCTTATTTTTATTTGTGAGATACATACCAATTAAATAGTTCTCCTTTTGTTTTATCCAATGCTTTTAATTCAAAGAATTATTTATTATACCATGCTATAGAAAAAAAAAAGAAAAAGAAAAGAAAAGACTTTTGGAATACAGAGCGTAATTATTTCCACGTAATTAAGCACACGTATTTCAACAAATAAAAACAAATGTCGTTGCTCTTTTGTACTTTGGAGACATTTTATGGTGGAAAAAAAATAGTTCTTTCGTTGCTTTTTTTTTTCTTTTTTTTTTCCATCGTTCCGTCCTTTTTATCTTTTTGTTTTGCTTCGCAAGGGAATATTATCGGACGGACGGGTAAGAGGAGAAGAATGGAAATGAGAGAAAAAGAGAGGATTCTTCTTCTGAACACAACGGATTCTAAGTCGTCACGTTTATCCGAAGGCCGTTACTTACGAAAGAGAAAAGTACTTCTTCTCGTAGGGAAATTAAGAGGGAAACGAAAAACAAAAAAAAACAAAAGAAAAAGGTGGAAAAGTGGAACGAACGAATACTCGCTCCAGTAAGTTTCCCTAGCTACAAAATAATGGATGAAGTAAGGAGTTTCGCGTTGCGGTCATTATTTTTCACACGTATGAATTTTACCGCACGTTTCAATTTTTTCTTTTTTTTGTTGTTGTTGTTTTTTCTCGAAACGACAGGAACGAAAAGAAAAATTATTCGGTTGGTTGTTTCTCTTTTATAATTCATCGTGCGTGTGTAAGTAATAGTTATACTCGCTATTTAAAACTACTACGTCATTTCTACGTTCCAATTTGAGAAGATCGATAGATGATAGGTCGTATTAAAAATAAAAAAGTTTCCTTTCATAATCATGAGAGACAGACAGACGGACGGACAGACGACGAATTAAATTCCAAGGAGAAGTTTTTTTTTTTTTTTTTAACAAATTGGGCCAAGTTATGCATGCGGTAACTTAACGATCCCTTTTGAATGAACATAAAAATTAGTTAAACATAGTAGGAATACTATCATTTTATCTTTATTTTGTACCAACTTACCAACTTATAAAGAACAACTCTTACAATATTATTATGTATAATTATTTTTAAACTACCAAGACGTAATTACATTTAAACTTATAAATATATATATATATATACATGGGGAAGACGTTATATAATATTAATTATGCGACTCGTTGTTAAATAAGATATTGTAAAATTGCAATAAGAAGATAAACAAATATTTAATAGAAATGTGAAATAATCTTTTTTTTTTTTCTTTATACTTTATATACAAAATTTATTCAATTTTATATCATCGAAAGTTGATAAACTTTCTACATAATTTAGTCCTTTATTATCCACTCTTGTAACAAGATGACAACAAGTGAAGAAAGACTCGTAAATTAAAGTTATTTATCATGGCGCATTATGTCACCTATTTTTTCCCACTTCTGGTACACTTTCAACAACCATTTCATTCGTATATACGACTTTTATAATTCTACCTCTGTTTATTCGCGTAGAATTATCTTTAGAGAACTCTTTTCAAAATATGCAACGAAGTAAGAAAATTTCCGAATATTTGAATAAATAATCAAAATCATTATCGAGATGTCATGAATTATTTATTACATATATCCAATATTAATAATGATTTACCATTAATATAATTTAAAAAAGAAATGTAATAATGATTATTGAATTCGACTCGTGTTGCGTAATTTTTAATTAAACGATTTAAATTATCATCCTAACATGTGGAAAAAAAAACTTAACGAACATATTCGAATTCAAAATGTATAAAGCATAGACAAAAGAAAAAATAAGAGACTCGTCGTCAAATGTACAAAAATGAATATTTGTATGAAATTTAAATCATACGTTTTCCCGCGCAAACGTTTCCCTGGAATATCATTGGAGGCATGGCAGTTGGTTATGCTTCTGGAGCCCTATAACTATTTCATCTTTTATCTCTCACTCTGACGTGAGAGTAAAATTGTCCTCCTATCGTAGAGAATCCCAGTTGCAGAGAGGGAACAGGTTGGAATGGGGGTACCATTTTGGAACGGTTGGCGGCGCTGTCGTAGCTTTTCTTAGCGTTCTCGGCAACGAAAACAGAATATTCGCGTCAAAGGGTCACCTTATTCGAGGATTCTTTGTGTCGTCGTTATTATTTACCAGTGACTCGAACAAAATAAACGTATTTAATATTTAAAACGAAGAGGTTTCATTCGTTTTCAATATTATTTTTTCGGGTATCCTTGTCCTTCTCGTCGTTCTCGCGTGAAAAAGAAAGGAGAAAGATAAGGTGGACGACATAGTAGAGGAGGAACAAAAAGAAAAGGACTCTGTTTTACCCTTGGAATTAAAAAAAAAAAAAAGAAACATTATTTCCTTAATGAAATTTCTCGCCGATAATACGTATCACATTAATTTTCCGATGATTATTAAAATATCATCGTATCTCGATTGGAAATTTTCTTATTTTTCCTTTTACCGTCTTCCCATCTTTCTCCCTCCTTTTCAAACGGTAAACCGCAATGAGACCTTGGTTCGAAAGTCACGTGGCCCGCCGGTCAGTCCATTGTTTACAGCAATTAATACGACAGTGTTTAAAGTTACGCGTTATTGTTCTTAAGAGATAAACGTCATCTTAACGTGTTTTTTCTTTTTTTTTCCTTATTATCGACAAAGTGTTTGTTGTTGTTTAACGAATGTTCGTTATTTTCTTCTATTTCGATGAGAATAATCATTTGGATTTTAAAAAAACAAGTGTTATGCACTTTCTCGTACAACTGTTTAATGCAAACGGTGAATAATCGTCCGGAACACTGTTCGATTTCGAATACCTCGATAATTCTCATTTTTCGTAAGTGTATTATTATTATTATTATTATTATTAATCAACAAATTGTTGATTCCTATTATTGTATTTTTTCATTTCATTATGAACCCTATGACAATTGTTGGGATTGAACGTAACACAATTAGATTAAAAATCTACATCATCTTCTACAATTATAAAATGTTTATTATATCGTTTAATTTGAACGAAAGTGGATAAATTGCAAATGATTATTTTCATTTTATTTCTTTAAGAATATTATCCTAAACGATATGACAAGGATGTTAGATGGTAGATAACCTTTTCGGTCTTTTCAGTGATACACGATACTGATTGTGAATATGTTACCATGGTAACCGCAATATACAGTTCGCTGGAAAAGAAAAAAAAGCAACTTTGAATTTAAATGATGACTCACTCGGTATACATTGTGTATGCAATATAAATCGTAGATAATAATAATAATAATAATAGAATTGCATTTAAAAAAAAAAAAAAAAAAAAAAAAACTTCTCCTTGGAATTTAATTCGTCGTCTGTCCGTCCGTCTGTCTGTCTCTCATGATTATGAAAGGAAACTTTTTTATNTTAAATGATGACTCACTCGGTATACATTGTGTATGCAATATAAATCGTAGATAATAATAATAATAATAATAGAATTGCATTTAAAAAAAAAAAAAAAAAATAAAAAAAAAAAAAAAACAATAGAATACAATTATGGAAAAGTTTCGATTTCAAATGGGCTGACCTTGTGCATTATTCTATTAGAAAAAAAAATTATGATTATTATTATACGGTAAGCGTACTCACCTTTCGCGCTTACATAAAAAAAATATTGAAAAGAGAAAGAGAAATGGTAAAGAAAAGGACTGCTGGCCCGATTAGGTGTAGAGATAACGAGTAGGAGTGTCCTTGGTATGGCATAGTACTACTGAACACAATCGAGTCATTGTCCATCGAAGTCGTTCGCAAAAAAAAAGTATGCGAAGACGCGAGCGCATAATAAGAAGACATCGTGCTAATTGTGTTGCGAAGCGTAAATGCTGAAAATAACCTCGGTTGCGATGTAATTATTCTTTGTTACAGTGCGTACTGATCAAATTTTGCGAATGCGAAAAGTTTACATGAATCCCTACCTCCCTTCTTCACCCCACCACCCCTATCCCACGCTACTGAGATAAATTATTTAATAAAATCGTATTTTAATTTAACTTCCATTAGAAAAATCATATATTATTCGAATAAAATTCTATTTGTTTTATGAATATTTTTATAAACGATATATAATATTTATTTTATATAATTGAAATATATCATTATTATTATTATTTATTCATATATATTTTATATATAAAAATCGTAGAAAATATTTCTCAATTCTATATATATTATACTTTTTGTATTTTTTGACGATATACATAAATGCATCATGTATTTTGTACACGGTAAACAAGTTTCAATCGTATTCGTTATCTCTGTTATAGGAAACAAACCAGTTTATCTGTTCTTCATAAAAATAAATATTCTCGGAAACAAATCGGATGCACACCGGTCTCATACCTTTTTCCAGATAAAAAAAAGGTGAGGAGATATCATATATATTACGAATTTTGTGAATTTCATTATATATTTCGTGTTACATTCGTTAATATAATATTTCTTAATTTAACAAAGTAGATTTGTAAATTTATATATATATGAACACAAATATACATATAATATTATACTCGTTTATAAAAACGAGTCTCGATTTTCTTCCCATATACGAATTTTACCACGTGAAAATATCCATGTACATATTTTACATATATATATATATCGATTCGAATATGTCTAATAATACTGCTGCGTATGATAAGTATAGTTATATAAGATATTACACAAGTGATGCATTTGTTTTTTAAAAAAAAACGTTTATTCATTTTTCCTCGTTCTACACCGTATCATACATACATATTATAATATTAGATACATATCTAACATTTTTCCAATAGAATTCTTTTATATAATAAAAATACAATATATATATATATATATATTCGATGA